TCTTCTCCACGCGGGGTCACGCTGGCGGCCCGCGCCGCCCGCGCACGCCGCGGCGTGAGGTCGCTGTGTCCTCGCGCGTGAGGCCCGTTTCCGCGCACCGCTCCGCTGGGAATATGGATGCCTCCCGCGGGTGCAGGCGTGCCACCGTGGGAGCCGGGGTGTTCTGACGCCCTGAGCCGGTCGCCGGTAGGCTTTTCCCCTTCCGAGCCGTCCGCGGGAGGTTTTTTCCCCGCCCACGTTGTTCGGAAGTCGAGCGAGCACGCGCCGCCAGCGCGATAATGCCCCTAGGAGCTCAGGGAATGTCCTGATGCAGTAGTTTGCCCATCCCGCCCTGGGTGGCCCGGCCAGAAGGCAGCGTGGTGCCCCAACAAGGATCAGCCGTGTTCATTCGTTCTGCTTTTTCTTTCGTTGTCGTTTCTTGACCCTGTTGCGCGCTCTCTCTCCCTCTCTCCGTTCCGCTTTGCGGTCCCGCGCATGGCTCGGCGCACCATCCAGACATTTCTTGGTCCGTGGGGGAATTCCGCCGAAACCGAGTTTCATACTTTCGTTGTTTAAAGCTGCATATGGTTGGGTCCGTTGTCAAACTATTTGTTCCACTGCTGGTTTTCGATCGTGTTCGGACAGCTGTGCTTCGAAATGGTTAGACACAACTTGTTTTGTATTGATTATGACATGCGCGCGCGGTGGCGCGCGCATGTGGCTCCCACGTTGCAGCGCGTGTGCACCGCGTTGGGTGGCATGGCATCTGTGATACTTTTGATGGGCGACCGTGCGTAATAATGGTGGACAGCGTAAGCCCCGAGTGGTACCGCGAACCCCAGCCTCGTAGTGCGTGCGTGTAGTTTTGAGGAAAAGGATCCCACTCGTCGCCAACTCCAACGCTCGAGCAAAGATTAAGATCCCACCCACCCACCCGCATCTTGTTGAGAACTCGCTTTGCGCAGCGACGCGAGGACCCTTGTCATGCAGCTCAATGACTCGGGCCGGCGAGTAATGATGATAATGAGGGTGGCGATGATGTCGAGGGTGATGGCACCTACGATTAAGATGCCGATGATGATGATGTTGATGACGGAGAAGAAGATGGTGTTTGAGGTCACCTTAACGATGATGTAGACCCAGTGCAAAGGGCTAATCCAAAGGATGTAGGCGTTGATTGGGATTGAGCTGCATGATGTGGATGGCCAGCTCACACGCTGCCCTCATCATGATGGCCCTCTCTTGGAGTGTCTGCTCCTGCGAGAGAGTGATCCACCCGTTTTTCGACATAGCTTTTGGCACGCTGACCCATAAGGATGGGTCCAAATAAAACTTCTCGCACAACAAGGTACGGTTTGTATTGATTTCAGGGCACTCTGCCCACACATGTCTGAACGATGGCCACGCGGCATTGCAATGACTGCAAGGTTTGCCGCTCTGCCGTTTGGTATCAGATGAGACAGTTCCCGACAAGTATATGCACAGCAATTTCTTGTCGGCATCTGGAAGCCTCCTGGCCCATTTGCTGAAGGCGCCATGGGAAGCGACGTGCGGATCCACCTCGTCGATGTCGTCCGCATCGTTCCTCTTGGGCACCACCTGCTTGAACCACCTCACTCTGGCAACTGTTCTCAACGCATGCTCCACTTTCTCATGGTACCGCTCCTGCTGTGGCCGTCTCGTCCAAAAGCGTGATGTACCAGGTAAAAAGAATTGAGACCCTGCTGCAACAATTCTATGATCATCCATCATATTCACCTCGACCAGGCAAGCCTGCTGCTCTGACAATATCACAAACTGCAATCCCAACACAGCGCTTTGTGCCACCATCGCCGTCTCGACAAATTGTGACCACCGTGATCACTGAAACATTGATGACGGCCGTGGGGGCGATGGCGACGACTGTAATATTGATGAACAGTATGGCGTTGATGACGATGCTGGCGATGATGATGACGCAGGTTTTGGCGCGCGTATCTGTCGCTGTGTCAAATACTCGGTTGAACATCGAATGGGTTGTCATATGCGTTTGCAGATAACGCTTGGAGAACAGACGGTGTTGGAAGGGTTTTACCATGCCCGCGCGGAGGCGCGCGCGTGTGGTCCGCATCGCATCGTTTGGCAGAGCTGGGAGGTGCGCGGTGAGTTCTGAATGATTTCGACATGCGCGCGCGTGTGGGCTCGACAGGCTGTCGAGCCACTTCTTATTTTTTAACGCAGATTCAGCCAGTGCGCGCACATACCTAGAGGAGGTGTTTGACCTGTTCAGTTGCACATTTATTGCATCCCTTCGCTCATTCCGCCAGCCCTTATTGTCGCACCTCTGTCGATTTGGGGGTGTGTTCCTGAGGGGGTCAGTGACTGTGGATTCGGTTTCGGGGGTTCGTTGCAGATTCTGGCGGGGTTGTCCTGGTGCGCGCCGCCAAGAGAGCGGAGGAGGAGGGCCGAGGAGGCGGAGGAGGGCGGGGAGGGGAGTGGGCGGGTCCTGCAGGGCGGGTCCGTGGCAGGGTCCACTTCGATCTATTTCGATACGATCTCGATCCTCCTCCTCCTCCTCCTCCTCCTCCTCCTCCCTTTCCCTCCTCCCTCCTCCTGCGTATACTCCTCCTCCCCCCTCGTTCTCCATCCTCCGTGCCCTCGTCCCTCCTCGCTCTCCCCCCCTCCCCTCCTCCTCCCTCCTCCTCCTCCTCCTCCCGCCTTCCCCGCCTCCCGCACCGAAAAGGGCGCGGGCGGGCCTTTTGCAGGGAGAGGGGCGCTCGGCAGGGCCCGCTTCGATCCGATGCGAGGTCCTAGGTGCTCGGGGCTCTCCGGGCGGGCCTCTCGAGGCGCTCGTGGGGCCTTCTTGGCGGCGTCGTGGGCCGTCGACGGGCCGTCTTGGGCGTCTTGGGGCGGCCTTGCGGGTCGGCGAGCTAGGAGGCTCGACTCGTGTTCCCCCGACGGGGCCCCTCTCAGGGCTGTCTTGGGCTGTCCAGGGGGCCTCGTGGGCCGTCCTGGGGCCCTCTTGGGCCGTGTTGGGCCCATGTTGGGAGTCCGTTGGGCCGTCTTGGGGCGATCTTGAAGGTCTATTGGGTAATGTTGGACGCGGGACTTCGAAACGTCGCATATGGGCAACATGTAAGTTATCTGAAGGGACCCGGACACTTTTTGCTTGTTCGAGGCTTTCTAGGAGAGCCTCTTGAGGCTCTCTTGGGGCTTCTTGGCGGCGTCTTGGGCCGTCTGGAGGCCGTCTTGGGCGTCTTGGGACGATCTTGCGGGTCGGCGAGCTAGAACATTCAATTCGTGTTCCTCCGATGGGGCTCCTCTTAGGGCTGTCTTGGGCTGTCCAGAGGGCCTCGTGGGCCGTCTTGGGGCCCTCTTGGGCCGTGTTGGGCCCATGCTTGGAGTCTGTTGGGCCGTCTTCGGGCGATCTTGAAGGTCTCTTGGGCAGTGTTGGACGCGCTGGACCTCGAAACGTCGTAGATGCGCAAAATGTACGTTTTCCGACGGGAATGGGACACTTTTTGCTTGTCGAGGCTCTCTAGAAGAGCCTCTTGAGGCTGCCTTGGGGTTTCTTGGCGGCGTCTTGGGCCGTCTGGAGGCCATCTTGGGTGTCTTGGGACCATCGTGCGGGTCGGCAAGCTGGAAAGTTCAATTCGAGCTCCCCCGATGGGGCTCCTCGTAGGGCTGTCTAGGGCTGTCCAGTGGGCCTTGTGGGCCGTCTTGGGGCCCTCTGGGCCGTGTTGGGCCCATCTTGGGAGTGTTTGGCCGTCTTGGGGCGTTCTTGAAGGTCTCTTGGGCAGTGTTGGACGCGCTGGACCTCGAAGCGCCGTAGATGCGCAAAATGCACGTTTTCCGACGGGAATGGGACACTTCTTGCTTGTTGAGGCTCTCTAGCAGAGCCTCTCGGGGCCCTCTTGGGGCTTCTTGACGGCGTCTTGGACCGTTTGGCGGCGACCGAGGGCCCCTCGGACCGTCTCGAGCACGTCACGGGGCTCTCTTGGAGCGTTCCTGGGGCGCTCGGGAAAGCCTGGAAGGCAGCGCCAAGGAGGAAAACCATCTCTGGGCCTCACCTGGCCGGGACCTGTCTGGGTACTTTCGTCCGGGGGCCCCCAGGGGCCGCCCCACGCGGGCAAATTGAAAATTGTAAAACAGTTACCGGAGTTATTAGCATGCCTCTGGCCCGTTGGGCCAGTGAATTTAACGCCAGTGGTCTCGTACGGATTTTGAAGTGGGCGCGTGCATGGGGTCCGCACTGTATGGTTTGATGCTGATACTGGCAAGCGGCACTTGCCATACCAATGTGCATGCGCCGTATTGTGGTTTTCGCCAAGGACGAAGGGGGACGATATCGCGCTAGTTGTCGCTGTGCTTTTTGATCAGATGCATTAGTAACCGTGTCCATTAGGTATTGAAACACACTGCGCGGAGGGGTGGGATAACTGTGGCCTCGGTAGGGGTGTACATGCTAATTTGTCTTAGGTAAAGGAGCCAACGTTGTGCAATGTGCGCGGTGCAGCATTTGCAGTGCAGTGCATTACCTGCGGCGCATATGCATCCTACGAGGAGCGATCGACGTTGCAGGCGGGGGTGTGAATTATGGGGAGTGCGGCAACGGCGTCGACGTGTGACAACGAGGGCCAGCCTAGAGCGCGAACTGTGGGGAGTACCCAAGGCCCCGAAGTTGCAGGTGTAGGGGCGCAAAGTATGGGGAGCGTCCAGGACCCACGTTGCGGCGGCGGCGGCGACGTGCGACAGCTAGGGCCAGTGCGGGGGCGCGACGTGTGGGGGCATGCCTGGGGCCCCACGCGGCGGCGGCGGCGGCGACGTGGGGCAACCAGGGCCAGAGGGGAGCGTGAAGTGTAGGGAATGCCCAAGGCCCCACGCGGCGGCGACGGCATCGACAGCGGCGGAAAGAGGACCACCGTGTCCAGCTCCCCAGAGGAGAAACACTCAAAACGCCCTCTGCGCTCGCACCGTCTCGATGATCACGAGCTTTCCGCGACGTGGGGGCGCCAGTGGCGGGCGCCGACGGCCCCGAGCCCCCAGGAACGGCATGCCGCACCTGGGGCGGCCCCGACAGAAGCCCGCGCTCGAGCTCGGCAAGCAGTACAAGGTGCGGGTTGTGGGTGCGTCGGAGGGGCTTCACCCAAGGAGAGGTCTCGTGGCATCTCGGCGGCTGCCAGGGGCTACAGACCCCGCTTGGTGGCACACTGGTCTGGGCTCTGCAATAAAAACGCGATGCAGGCGTAGGGATCTTACGCGGCAAGGCCCCGGCAGGTGAGGGAAGCACAGCGACAGAGGAGGTGGCATCATGCGGACATGGATCGTTGTCGAATGTTTCCGAATTGCCAGGGTTGCTGTGGGCATGTCGGCAGGGTGCCGTCAGACCAGCAAGACCTCCATGTTAGCATTGGTTGTGTTGCGAACGTTACGACCACTACGCACATACTATTTCCTGATAGTACTACTGCGACTACTTCCCTCCAACTACCATCGTCTCTACGGTTGTAATGTATAAGATTATGGCAGCGACCACTGCTACTGTTACCTGGACTAACGCCAACACTTCTAATGCTCCTAGTCCTGCTTCTTTTACTACTACTACTACTACTGCTACTGCATGGGATGGGCTCCTCAGGAGTGGCTGGAGTTCGTCCGGCCGCCAAGGCTGCCCGCCTGCCCAGAAGCGATGAATACAGAGGACGGGAAGGAGGATTGGGATGTGGTATAGGGGGAAACTCGGTGCAGCAGGATTAGGAGGATGAGGGAGGAGGGCGGGGAGGAGAGGTTGAAGGAGGGGGGGGGATCGAAGAGGGGGTTGGGGGAGATGACGTTGGCAATGGTAATTACTGTAATAATGGTGATGATGCTGATGATGATGATGATGATGATGGTGATGATGATGCTGATGATGATGATGATGCTGATGATGGTGATGATGGTGGTGGTGATGGTGGTGATGATGATGTGGGTGATGATTGTGGTGGTGTTGGTGAGGGTAATGGTATGATTATCATGATTTTGATGATGATAATGATGCTGATGATGCTGATGCGGATGGTGATGATGAGGATGATGATGATTCTGAATGGTATGCCTATGATGATGTTTATTATTATTATTATTATTATTATGTTTAAATGTAAGTTTTAAAATAATAGCACTTAGTATTCTTACTATACTTCTTTCCATTATCATTGTCATAGGAGTTGAAGCAGAGAGGATTTATGGAAACAAACAAAGGAAGGATGGCCAAAGGAAACAGAGGGACATCAAAATGGAACGGATGGAGGGTAAAACGATACGGACGGTAATCTATAAAAAAAACGGAGAACATGTTAAACAGAGCGGAGGGACAAAACGTACGTAAAACGGAACGGAACGACGGAAATTCGTAATCCTCATCACCAACACCATCAATACTGTCGTCATGATTGTCACGGGCATGGTAATTTCGAGCACTATCACAATACATGTCGTCGTCACCGTCGCCATCATCATCGCGAACCTCAGCACCACCATTACATTCGCCATTGTCCCAATCAGCAGCATCGTCCTCATCAGCATCCTCATCGTCGCCGTCTTCGCAATCTTGCTCACCAGCAGCACCATCGGCATCGTAGCCATCGCCCTCAACATCGCAGTCCTGCTCATCAATGTCCTCATTATTATCATCACCGCCAGCACTATCGTCATCAGTCATCATCTGAACCGCGGCCATCATTCTCTCCAGCATGCGCCTCGGCAACATCGTCACCATCATCATCACCATCATCATCACCATCATCAGCATCCTTCTCCTCTTGGTGATCATCAACATCACCACCACCACCACCATCACCATCACCACAATCATCATCATCACTATCATCGTCATCATCGCCATCATCCTAATCATCATCATCATCATTACCATCATCATCACCAGCATCATCACCACCATTATCATCATAACCATCATCATCGTTACCATCATACGTATGATCATCATCGCCATCACCATCACCACCACCTTTATTACCATCATCGTCACCATCACCACCATCATCAGCACCACCACCATCACCATCACCATCATCATCATCATCATCATCATTTTCATCACCATATCATCGTCATCACCATCATCCTAATCATCATCATCATTTCCATCATCATCACCATCATCACCACCATCATCATCATCATCATAGCCATCATCATCATCATCATCATCATCATCATCATCGCCATCACCATCACCACCATCAATACCACCATCACCACCATCACCACCACCATCAGCATCACCACCATCACAATCACCAGCAAAATCAGCATCATCGTCACCATCACCATCATCATCATCACCATCATACTCATCATCACTATCATAATCATCATCGCCACCATCCTAATCATCATCATCATCATCATCATCATCATCATCATCATCATTACCATCATAATCACCATCATCACCACCACCATCATCATCATCATCATCATAACCATCATCATCATCACCATCATCATCATCATCGCCATCACCATCACCACCATCAATACCACCATCACCACCATCATCACCATCGCCACCATCACCACCATCATCAGCATCACCACCATTACCATCACCAGCACCATCAGCATCATCATCACCATCACCGTTATCATCATCACCATAATAATCATCATCATTATCATCATCATCGCCACCATCCTAATCATCATCATCAGCATCGCCATCAGCATCATCAGCATTTTCTTCGTCATCATTAACATCAATACCATCATGATCATCGCCATCATCATGCTAGGTGTCACCATTCCGTCGTCGCCATCATCGGTATATTCGGCATCAGCGTCACCGTCATCATCATCATCGTCATCATCGCCGTCATCGTCGTCGTGTTCTCCGTCGCCATCGTGATCATCGTCATCGTCATCAGCATCAGCATCATCAACACCAGCATCATCGCCATCGCCATTCATATCACAGTCATATTCCTTATCTTCGTCGCAGTCGCAGTCCTCATCATTAGCACCAGCATCATCGTCGTCATTGTTAGAGTCAGCAAAACCAACCCGTTCATCGTCATCATCATCATCATCATCATAATTATCATCATCATTATAATCATCACCATCATTATCATCATCATCGCCACATCGTCAATCATCATCATCATCATCATCATCATCACAATCGTCATCACCATCACCATCATCGTCATTGTTGCCATCGTGCTCAACTTCATGATCATGACCGTGATCATTATGGTCATCGACACCACCACCCTGTTCATCATCATCCTAATCCTCATCGTCATCGTCATCGTCATCATCATCACCATCATCATCATCATCCTCCTCCTCATCATCATCATCATCATCATCATGATCATCATGATCATCATCAGCATCATCATCATTTCAGTCGTCGAACTCATTGTCATTCTCATCTGCCTCAGCATCTTCGTCATGATCATTCAGCCTCGGCCTTCGAAACCAGGAACTCTGGAGTTCTGGGTTTCGAAGGCCTACCCGGTGAGAAACCCAGAGCTCTGGAGTTCTGGGTTTCTCACCGGGGAGGCGGAGTTGGGTAGACGAAAACCCATCGAGAGTTTTGGGTTTTCACCTCGTGGACTCCAGGTTTTTCCCTCCCCCCCCATCGCCCCTCCCTCCCCTCCCCGCCCCTAACCTGCTCCGCCCTGGCCATCCTCATCAGCGCTCCCCTCTCCGTTCTCGCCCTTGCTGCTCCTCCCCCTCCTGCCATTCCTTGCCTGTCTTTCTCCGTCATGCGCAAGTGTGTGGTATGGGCTTGGGGGGGAGCTGGCTTCAGTCGAAAAGCTGGCTGACCTGATCAGCAGCTTGGCTACTGCCGCTGCCAGTGCCTGTGCCACTGCCGCGACCCCAACCACCATCGCTACCACTACAACTGCCACTACCACTACTTCCTCTCTCCCTCAGACCTCGCTCCTCTTCCCCTCTCTTCCTCCTCCAGTCCCCTCCTGAGCTCCCCTCCCACCCTCCTGTCCCTCGTGTTTCTCCCTCCCTACCTCCCTCCCTCCCCTCTTCCTCCCTCCGTCTCCTCCCTTCCTCCCTCCCTTCACCCCCTCCCTCCCTCCCTCCCTCTTCCCCTCCTTCCTTCTCCGCCCCCAGCTGGTTGAAGTCGACAGACATCACAAGCACGGAGTTCGTCGGCGAGCCCTTCAAGTGCAAGGCCTCCGAGCCTCGGCTCGGCGCCGCCCCGTGGGCGCCCGCGCCCCCCTAGAGGGAGGGAGGGAGGCAGGAGAAGCGCGGGAGGAAGGAGCGAGGAAGGCTGGATGATGAACGTGAGGGAGGAGGACGAGGACGAGGAGGAGGAGGAGGAGGAGGAGGAGGTGTAGGAGGAGGAGGAGGAGGAGGAGGAGGAGGAGGAGGAGGAGGAGGAGGAGGAGGAGGAGGAGGAGGAGGAGGAGGAGGAGGAGGAGAGGAGGAGGAGGAGGGAGGAGGGAGGAGGAGGAGGAGGAGGAGGAGGAGGAGGGAGGAGGAGGAGGAGTTACAGGAGGAGTATGGGGTGGAGGAGGAGGAGGATGAGGAGGGGTAGAAGGTGGATGAGGGGTTACAGAGGAGGAGGAGGAGGAGGAGGAGGAGGAGGCGGAGGAGGAGGCGGAGTAGGAGCAACGCGCACCTTTCCCCCCCTCTCCGGTCTCCGCTCGCGTCTCCCTCGTCCGCCTCCCTCGTCCGCCCCCCCACGCCGCGGCCTTGTGGCCCTGGCCCCCCCCCCTGTCTGCGTGCTTCCCCCTCAGTCGCTCCGTCGTTGTCGTCGTTGCCGCCGCCGCGCCGTCGTCGCCGTCTTCGTCGTTGTCGTCGTCGCCGTCGCCGTCGCCTTTCTCTCTCTCTGTATTTCCAGCTCTCAGCGCGGTGGCTCCCCGCAGCGGGGCCGGGTGTCTGCTTGTTCCCCCCTATCGCGCCGTCCTCTCGCACTGTTTCCTCCCATTGAAGTCTTTGTCCCATCGCCGCAGACGAACTTGACGAGCAAGGATGCGCCTTTCTTGCACCCGTTCTTTCAGTTCAGGACCGCTTCTGGCGCCAGCACCCGATCGCGCGATCGCATATGAATTGCACGACCGTTCACAGGGGGAGTGCGGCACGTTTGCAGGGGTGAGGAGAAGGAGGAGGGCGAAGAGAAGGAGACGGAGGTGGAGGAGGAGGAGGAGGAGGAGGAGGAGGAGGAGAAGGGGTGGCAGGATTCGGAGAAAGTGAATGTAGAGGCGGAGCAGCATATTGAGTGCGAGATAATGCTGATGGTGGTGGTGATGATGATAATCATGATGATGACGCTTCCGATGACGACGATGCTGCTGCTGATGACGATGATGCTGATGTTGTTGATGCTGGTGATGATGGTGATGGTCACGATGCGGATGATGGTGATGATGCTGCTGCTGCTGATGTTGACATGTTTATGATCACTACTTTTTCTGCTATCCGTATTATTATGATGACGATGCCGATGCTGATGATGATGATGCTGATGGTATTGCTGATGCTGATGATGAGGATACTGGCGCGAATGATGATGATGCTGATGATGATGCTGCTGCTTCTGACGATGCTGCTGATGATGCTACTTGTGTTGGTGATGATGATGCTGATGACGACGCTGATGATGATGCTGATGCTGATGATGATGCTGTTGCTTATACTGCTGACGATGATGATGCTGATGATGCTGCTGATGATGATACTGATGATCATGCTGACGTCATAATGATGCTGATATTGATGATGATGATACTGATGGCGATGACGATGATGATGATGATGATGATGATGATGATGATGATGATGCAGATGATGATGCTGCTGATGATGAAGATGACGATGATGATGACGACGCTGGCGGCGACGACGACGATGATGATGCTGATGATGATGATGATGATGATGATGATGCTGGTGGTGGTGGTGATGATGATGCTGCTGATGCTGCTGCTGATGGTGCTGATGATGCTGATTTTGCCGATGATAGCGCTGATGATACGGAGTGTGATGACGACGAATTTGATATTGTGGTTGTTGTTGGTTATGATGATGACGCGACTGGCGATGCCGGTGCCGATGACGGTGATGGTGATGCTCGTGACGGTGTTGTTGATTGTGATGGCGATGGCGATGGCGACGGTGACGACGACGACGGTGACGCTGATGATGCTGATGGTGATGATGATGATGATGATGAAGATGCTGATGATGATGATGATGATGGTGACGATGTTGATGATGATGCTGATGCTGATGCTGCTGCTGATGATGATGATGGTGGTGATGATGCGGATTATGACGGTGCTGATGCTGCTGCTGATGATGATGTTGATGTCTATGATGATGAGCATGGTGAAGACGATGGGGATGATGACGGTGATGCTGCTGCTTGTGATGATGACGATGCCGACGTCGATGACGACGGTGATGATGATGATGCTGTTGAGGATGATGCTGATGCTGCTGCTGATGATCATGCTGATGACTCTTCTGTCGCTGCTGTTGTCGATGATGATAATGGTGATGGTGATGCTGATGGTGATGATGGTGGTGATGATGATGCTGATTATGATGATGATGATGATGATGATGATGATGATGATGATGATGATGATGATGATGCTGATACTGATGATGATGATGCTGATGATGATGATGATGTTGATGATGATGTTGATCATGATGATATGGAGGTTGTTGATGGTGGCGATGATGCTGCTGCTGCTGGTGCTGACTACCATGACCATCATCATGACCATGATGATGACCATGACGATCGTGATGGTTAATGTCGGGGTGATTGTAATGAGGGCTGTGGTGATGACGACTTCGGTGATGCGCAGGAATGTTGATAATACGGAGGCAGAGGAGGTGAACGATGAGGTGGACTAGGAGTGGACGAGGTGGAACACGAGGAGAGGAGGATGGGGGGAGGAGGAGGAGGAGGAGGAGGAGGAGGAGGAGGAGGAGGAGGAGGACGAGGATGAGGAGTCTGAGGAGGAGGAGGAGGTGGAGGAGGAGGAGGAGGAGGAGGAGGAAAGGGAGGAGAAGGAGGAGGAGGAGGAGGACGAGGAGGTGGAGGAGAAAAAAGGGGGAAACTGCAGGAGATGGGGGAGGCGGAGGAGCAGGAGGAAGAGGAGGAGGAGAAGGAGGAGGAGGATGAGGAGGATAAGAAGAAAACGACGAAGGGATGAGGAATGAAGTGGAGCAGGATGAGGACGAGGAAGGGGGAGGAGGGACAGGACGACGAGGATGATGAGGAGGAGGGCATGTCATTCGGTACTGTCCAGCCTGCGACAGGAAACGCTGCGGTCGGCCGCAGCTGTCGCCGTTGCTCGGGTGTTCTTCTTGTCTGAACTTGCTTGGTGTGCAGGCACTCCAGAGGTTGCCCAAGTGCAGCCCAACCTCTCTTCGGTCTGCTGCTGCATCCCGCCCTGCGTCGAGCTGTCCCACTGTGCGTTGCCTCCTTCTCGTGTTGCATTGGACTGCGTTGTCCTGCGCTGCCCACAGGCGATGCCCGCCTTCTGTGTGTGAAGACCGCTCATTTCCCCTTTCTATCCATCTATCCTGCTATCTTCTCGGCTGATCATGGGCAAAAGAGTCTTGTCTTTTCTCCCTATTCTCCTTTACCTATAGATCATGCGGTAGGTTCGACTCATTGGATGTTAACCTCCGTTCGCAGGTTATCAGCCTATTCTATCACGCTCTCCGTTGCGAGACCCCGCGCCGCCTTTGAGCCTTGCGCATGGCGCTGGACCCTACGGGGTCCAGTGCTTCTACGCGCGATGGCTCTTCGACGGTGCGTGGGCTTCGCGACGACACGGGAAGGAAAGTGTGACAGATAATGGTACCGCAATCCCCCCACCAGGAGAGGGCAGCGAGGATGCCCACCTCGAAGGAGCGTTTCGGTGTGCACAACAGGCATGCGTAGACTCTTTCCAGTCCTCCGTGCCGGCGCAATCGTACACCCAAGGGTTTGGGCCCAGCTTTCAGTCGACCGTTCAGTCACCTGGAGCCAACATTCGTTCAAGTTCTTCGTCGGTGGAAACACCTACGCCTTCCTTCTCCATTCTCTCCGCCAGTGGGAACGTCCGCGGTGGCGCGAACGAAACGTCTCCTCCGAGCGCTTCCGCGCGACACCCCCGCTGGGACACCAGACGTCCTATGAACCCCACGTCGGTTCCTGTGTCTGAACACGTGCGATCGTTTGAGGATCGTAGTGGGCTGACCTCGCATCGGAGAGTCCTCCGAACGGTATCGCCTCCACTTTCAAATTAGGGGCAACAACCGCAGCCCCTCCCAGCGGCGCTCGCGGCAGAATTCCTTGCGGCGTGACATCGCGCCACAAGCAGCGCCTCCCGCCAGTGATTTGGCGTAGCTCAGAGACCAAGTTTAAACTGCCGCGACCCAGCAGTTGTCGGGTCTTGCTGCCACAGTCGCTGGTCACTCGACACAGACAGCAAGCTTAGGGCAAGAGATCCATAATGTTCTTGCCCTGGTCGACGCTCGGATCGCCGAGGATCGAGCGATCCTAAATGAGGTCCGACATCAAGTCAGTTGACCCCGTGGAGTCCTGCCGAGGTGCCGACTCCAATGTCATCCAGACGCTCCACGATTATCTCCCTGCAGTGGAGGCGCAGCTCGCGAGCTTCAGGGATGCGGGCGCTGCTGCCGGCAGGACCCTGCGCGATGAACTCTTGACATTGCAGCATGTTCCAGCCACTGATGTACATGGGCTTGCGGATCAACAGCTCCGTGACGACCTCATTGCGCTTCGTGATCACGTTGACGTGGCCACTTCCAACCTCCTCTCCCGAAGTGCCGCGACCACGTCTGGATTGCACGGCAAGCTGTATACAGCCGAGATGGCGATTGCTCATTTGATGCGTCGGAGGGGCGCGTGCCAGCGCTTGAGAAATGAGTCTCCGCAGTTGAGCAGCAGTTACCAGATCTACAGGCTGCGCTGGCTGAATTTTCGCGCTGTGCCGACCCAGACTGGCCAGCTCGGCGACCCGGCTTCGGTTTGCGATTTCGCCCCCCCCGCCGCCGAGATGGCCGAGGTGAGGAAGGCGGCGGGCCGCGCGCACTTGCGACTCACCCAGATCTCCGGCGGAAGAGACGCTGGAAAAGGCACGGGACGATCACTCCTCGCCCGACTGGAACAAGAACGCGAAGCGCACAACCGACGAATCCAGGACTTAGAGCATCGGCAGGACCGATGCCCCCATCGAACCCACGACACCAACGACGGGGTGCGTGGTCTACGACAGAGTTTTCAGGATGCGCCGAACGATCTCACGGCGACCGAAGCAACATTGACCGCCCGCGTGAGCGACGCCCAGATCCATGCCCCTTCGCAACTTCCAATGCCCGCCACCAGCGGTGCCCTAACCCTCGCCGGTGGAAACATCCGCGCTGGACAATCGCGACGCGCGTCGCCAGGAGCTGCCTCCGCTGCAGCCTCAGCCCAGGCGCGTCGCGTTTCTGCTGCGCGCGCACCATCGCCGACGCCGCCGGCTCCAACGCATAATCTTTCACAGTTCTCTCTTGGTGGTGCCGCCGAGATCAAGGAGTCAGATGCCGTCCGCATTCCTTAACCGGCACCCATTGTTCAATTACAAGAGTGGCAACAGATGGCAGGGAAATCTTCGGTAGCGCATCGGGGCGTCCTGCCGAGGCATGCACCTTTCTCTGCGTTGCCAAACGCCCTGATGCGACTGCATATGGGGACCTGCAAGGCAGTGGCGATTTCGAGAGCATCGATTGCGAGCTCGCCGCTGGAAATTTGTTGGCTGCTCTTACCACTGAGCCCCGTTGCCGCGTGAAGAACGTCGAAGCTCGGGGGCGCAAAGCCGGCCGCGCGTTGAAGGGCAGACATATCTACTGAGACATCTTGCAATCTTACAAGATCACGGAAATCGACGACAGACTTCGAACGTCTCCAGCTTCTTCGCGTGCGGCGCGACGGTATGCAGCGGCTTATTGTGAACTGGGGCAATTTATTCTTCGAGTGCCGTGATCCACCGGGCG